GCAACTCAGGTTAAAATACAGCCTTCTTCCTCATGTTTCTTTCTTCATTCATTATATGTAGAACTTCCAAAAGAAGCACATTTTGAGATAATTTGAATGGAATAAAAAAGCAAGCAGTTGTTGAGAAAAATATTTTCCTTCTTTCCTTCTTTCCTTCCTTCCCCCACATACACCCCTAATTAAAATAAGGAATTAGGGTCAATTCAAATTTCTCATAGAAACAACTAGGTCAGTCAATTTGACTTGCAACACTTCAAAAGACACAATGCTTTTTGCCTCGTATTTCAAGCAAACTCTGTCACTAAAAAATCCAGAATTGGTTTTCTCCAGTTAAATGATCTTAAACAGATCGAATTATGGTCTAATGTCCAGTTGCTCTAGCATTCAAGGAAACTACTGCTCTGAACCCAATTTGGCCTTCAGTCCAATAAGCCCATATTTTCTCTTTATGCAGCATCTAATCTTGTTGCTGCCCTTGAAAGTCAGCTAATTTTGCATGTATTCTCAGTCTTTTTTCTCCAGGCAGAATCTGGAGAGCATTTATGAAAGTTGCTTTTCCCTGCTCCCAAATATGATTTTGATCCAGTCGATGTCTTTTATATTCATGATTGTGCCTGAAAAGGGTGTTAGGTGTGTTACTTATTCCTAAAAGCATGGCCATGGCAAGCATCAATTACTATGTTCATATGGCTTAACTTTTAGCCTTCATTCTGCTGCCTGATGACAATTTCAGTTGGAGTCCTTATATTGGTCCAGAATTTGTTTCAGAATTGTATGTTCCTGTATTGTTGTGTTTAGCAGTTAAGGTGGGTAATCTCTAGCTCAGCAATGATGAACCCCAAATAGAAAAACAGAAAAATAGAATCTTCCAATTTCTAGCAATAAAGTTCTGCAGAATTTGTGGGTGATTTGCTTCTCTGCTGGTGGAAGATCTTATCTTTTCCTTCAGATCTTGGGTCTCCACTGGCATACCAGTTTAGTCCCATAAGATGATTTGACAGTTTCACGATTCCCTCATTACAGTGAACACACAAGGTTTTGTGTTTGCATTTTATCCTTAGGTAACTACAACCCACTTTATAACACTGGAATAGATCTGGACTGTAAGGGCTTTTTCAATTATTTGCAACTCTTCCCCCATCTATGATAACCAAAGCAGCTGGGATGAAATAAGCAATGTTCCTTTGCCTCCCCCTTCTCTTCTGTAGAGGATCAAAATATAATACGTGTATGCGGGGGGAATGTCTATAAGGACATTTTTCTTATTTTCTTATTCCAGGACCATCTCACATTTCTCAACTGTGGTTTAGAAAGATTGGGGGATAAAAACAGAACATGGTGCACACATTGTGGAGAACGAATTAATTATTCGAGAGATCATTCTACTCTAAAGTAAACATGGTTATTTACATGCAAACACACACACAAACTTTGACAACATATGGGAGGTTACTACCCTGGGTAATGGCATTTTTTCTGTAGCAACTATATTGCTGAAAACAGCTTCTTTTGTATGGATTGAGATAATCTCCCACCTTTTGCTTTCTGTTAATGATATTAAAATGAATTTGCACAAGTGCTTCTCAGTGCAGTGGATTCCTGCTATAACTGAGAAATGTAAATTCAGATTATTATGAACATGTCACAGAGGACAAAAATAACTACTGTTGTTTTGTGACATAGATTGGAGCTTTTCCCCAACACTACCGGCAATTTAACAGTTTCTGGCCAAGTAGATCAGGAACATTAAAACAATGGAATGCTAGCTAGAACAAAAGGAAGGAGAAAGGCCAAAGGGAAATGATTTACCTAATTAGTAACACAGGGCACACATAAAAATCAAGATACTTTATAATTCAGATACAAGAGAATGCAACATGGGGAATATTCTCACATATGACATTAGTAGACATTACAGAAAACAATCATTTTTTCTGGATAAATGGAGTGGATTTCAGAAGCCAATAACAATGACCACTAATCCCCAAACAATATTACTTTCCACTTCATGCAGTTTTTTAAACAGCTTTTTTGGCTCAGCTTTGAAATCAGAGACCCATAGAGAGGACAATCTCTGAAGTGTCTCATTTGAGACAGGAGTTAGGCTTGGTCTGAATCTAATACTCATCCCTTATGAGAGTTTCGATTCTGAAGAGCAAGTTGGACATTTAGAAGAAGGGAATGTCTTGCAAGTATCCTTTATTTGGGTTCTGAATCTCACTTCTTAAGGTAAATACAGAGAAAAGGGTTATAGAAGCTCATCGAAAGGTTCCATAGAAGTACAACTGCTTTGTCCAATCTAAAATCCTAATTTTTTAAAAAATATTTGAATTATCAAACCATTGCCAATTGGGTCTTATATGTGCATGTGATTCGCATGTGAATTAAGCAAATTTTTGTATCCTCGATTGCAAGCAATCCATTGACAATAATAACCGTTGGTAAAGGCTGATGAATAATCTTGATTGGAGATAATATTTTCATTTGTGCACACTTATTTTTAAGAAATACGAGTACAAATGTGTAATCCATATTCTATATACTATTCAGGAGATATACAGTACTTGCCCTGTGCTTTTAATATCCACAAGAGCTGTATTAATGAAACATGGGACATAAATCTATTTAATTTTCATTTATTATTCATATTTTGCCATCAGTATAAAACACTTTTCAGAATAATGAAATGAAAAATCTTTGCCCTGAAACACTTATTTCACAAGAGGAAGGTGGACGCCTTGGAGGTGTTCACTTTAATTTTAGTTACCTGCTTGGAAAAATATGGAGATTGAACAGTGTGTCAGCAGCCCAAATGATACAGCTTCTTTCCTGCGTCTGTTCAGATGTTTCATTAGTAAAAATATGGAACTGAGGCACCAAGTAGATTACAACTGTAGCTAAATAGAAATATTTATCTGCTTGAGTTCCTATAGATTAGATGTCCTGTTCATATTTAGTAATTTATTTTCTGCTTCATGGTTAGATATACCATGTGACCCAATTCCATCGCTAAATTTCAGGGACAGACAGTAACATTTATGGCCATATGTAGAAAGTGCAAAAGATCAAGTTTTCCTATAGGACTGTTTGCTATGCTCAGATTTATCCAGGAGGAATCTGGCAATTAGTCCCAGATCAAATCTGAAGTGTTTTGGCAATTCCTGTTTAGGAAAGGAGATAGAATGCTTGTTGAATACATTTTTAAAATCTGATGGTATGTAAGTGTACAAGGTGAGGGATTTTTTTAAAAAAAAATCATGTCATTTTTTGAAAATTCTACAATGCAAATAATGTATTGTAAATGTTAGAAGAGTTATCTATTATAATGTAGTTAATTTTTTCTGTACATTTCTGGCTTTAAATTTACTGTGACAAATATGCTGATGTTGATCAGTTATCATTAATAAATTCTATATTTTCTTTGGTCCTATCAAGATAAGATTGTGATGTAAGGAATCTGCAAAGCCTATGAAAATACAGTATTTAGATAATAAATTTGTCTACGGCTGCACTCAAACCTGTTCCTTGAGTTAATCTCTGCAGAAAACCAGATACAGATAGTCCTCAGTTAACAATTGCCCTGTTTAGCAGCCATTCAACTCATGACAATGCTGAAGAAGTAGGTTTACAGCCAGCCTTTGAACTTATGATAATTAAAGCATCCTCATATCATTGCATAATTGGAAGTTGGGTGTCTGGCAACCAGCACACCTTTATGACAGTTGCACTGGCTCACAGTCATGTCATTGCCAGTTGCGACTTCCACAGCCAGCTTCCAACAAAGCCAGAGGGAAGTAGACAGCAAGACACAAGTCACAATCACGTGGTGTCACACTTAATGACCGCAGATGATTGACTTAGTGATTGCAGTGGAAGCAATATCATAAGACAGGCATGGTTGCATGATGTTTCACTTAATGACTGCTTAGTGATGGAATTGCTGGGCCCAATTGCTGTCATTAAGTGGGAACTATCTGTACAGCCTTCTTAAACTGCTTATCAGGATTAGAGTCTTCTCTCTGCTATTGAATTTTGCTACTTCAGTCCCATAGGCCCAGAATGGTATGACAGTAGCTTTTTTTGTAAATTCGATGTGATACTAGACAGGACAATTGTTCTCTTTTAGTATTACGTTTAATGAAAGAATGAGCTGGAATTTGAGTCAGATTTGGAGCAATAGGAGAAAAAAACAGAAAGAGAAGAGAAAACTTCTGAATTTAACTATCACTTTATTAAATGACTCTCCAAACTTTAGTACCCAGTCCTGGTTTGACTGTTTTTATTATTCACATTTCATATGCACAAAAGTGTACAAATGCATTGAAAAACAGGACAGATTCTGATACTTTCCAGCGTTCAGAGTATTATTTTTTACTGACAATTTCCTAAATGTTTGTGTTTTGTCCATGAACAAATGCACAGATTCATGGACTGAACAATAAATAGTCAAAAGAGAGATCTATTCCAGTATTATTTGCAAACAAGGTCAATTGATTCATGGTCTCAAAATTTGGGAGAAATTTGAAATACAAGTAAAATTGTAACTTGTATATATTTAATGTATGCAGCTTTGAGAATATATGTTCAATAAGTGGAATTTTTAGAATAGGCTGCTTTTAATGAATTAACAATATTAAAAGACAAAATATTATATATCCATAGTGTGAGCTTTTTAAATAGTTAAATATTTGAAAAAAGTAGATTCACTAAGTACTTGGTGGGAGGACATAGCTAAAAGGATTTAAAGGGCCATATTCTTGTTTTGTACACTAAATTCTGAGATGTGGACTCAAATTCCTACAAAGAGAAGATGCATTCACATATAATTAGAAATAAACATTAAAAAGTGACTATTGGACATTGTATGTATTTGTTGGCTATACTCCAGGATTCTGTCTGTCCCATGTCCAATGTTGCACTTGATTCTGTACCTGATTTTCCCGATCTTGCTGTATCATTAAAATACTCTGATGTAACTTGCTGTATTTTCTCTTCCTCAGGTCCAGGCCAATGTGGAGAAGTCTTTGACGCTCTTTGGGCAGCTCTTGAACAAAAAGCACTTTCTGTTAACGTTTATTCGAACCTTGGAGGCCCAACGCAGCTTCTCCATGCGCGACCGGGGTAATGTGGCCTCTTTAATTATGACAGCCCTACAGGGTGAGATGGAATATGCCACTGGAGTGTTGAAACAGCTTCTTTCAGATCTGATTGAAAAGAATTTGGAGAGCAAGAACCATCCCAAATTGCTCTTGAGGAGGTGAGCATTTGTATAGGATCCTCTTAGTAAAAGGATTTGTGTGGATTTTCGCTGAAGTCAGGGTATTTTGTGTTTTTTCAACAATTCTGACCATAGATTTAGCACTAAAATAATAGATCATCACCTATAAATATCTCAATATTTCTCAAAAAGAGAGTGATTGCTATTAGACCAAATATACACCAACTGAGCAAGTAGGGGTAACTTTTTTGGTCTTTGGTATTTCACTTATGAATTTGAATATTTATGAGTGTGGTTAGAATTTAGAAGCTATAATATTTTCATATCTTTGCAAGTCAGATATCAAAACAAGGTGACAAACAGATTGGAGGAAATGTTTGTTTCAATAGACAGAGATATCAGATTTCTGTTGTGAGAACAGACACTTGAGTGTGTCAGCATCTCTTTTAAATGAGACTTTAATGCAGAAGTCTTCATTATACACTATTATACCCTAACTCTTTGCAGAATAATTGTATGCTTTATTAAACAGATAATATGTTTCTATGTGGGAGATGGGTGTAACCATGATAATATGATGTAAAAATCAAAGGAAAAGAAAGTTTTAAAAGGCTTCAGAAATGACCATACAAATGATTGTACAGCATCAAAAGGACAAATGTATGCTTGATTTGCAATAGTAGCTTACTGCTGTGTCTTGTTTGTTAGCATTTGAGTGGTTTTTCCCCCCACTCAACAGAAGGTAAACAAAAAGAATAGAGCATTTTGCAATTTGCTGTCTTTTTCTTCCTTCTTTCAACTTATTCCTTTCTTCCATTTTTTAAAAATACTAGCGGGTTACCAATACTGTGTCACATACTATATTTTTACAAAATCTCTAAATCCGGGGTTAATTAATTCGTTACAAATGTCTATTGCAAAGTTACTGTCTTTCAGTAGTATTTGTTTCTGATGGTTGGTAGGGAGCAAGCCATTATTATTTTACAGGTCGAAAAGGGACACATCCTCTTTCTGCATGTAGTGCATCAGGCCTCTCTTTGCCTAGTTATTCTTTCCCAATTGTTTCTTCAAGACTGCTTCTTCAGCCTCTAAGAAGTGATTGTTTCAGAATAAAACAAGCAGATTTTCCCGAGTATTATATCAACACAGGCGGGAGATGTCAAGATTGTACTCCACTTCTTTCATGTGTCTGTTTCTGCTCCATCAGGTTTTTAAAACTTAGCCAGATAGACTTACTGAATTATAGCCCAATGCATATTGAAAAATATACTAACTGCAGGATAAAAAATTATTACATGTGTACTAAAATATATATTCACTAAGTTCCTTTTCTTGAGCTTTTAATAATCCACTTTTGCAAAAGTTAATTCCCTTATCCTCTTATGCTTTAAATCAGTTCACAGATCAAATAGTAGTTTTATTTGTTATACATTTGTTTGCATACATGTTTGCAAAGAATATTGTCATGTACATGCAGTAAAGTAGATTCATGTTCATAAACATGTAGTGGACATAACAAACAGTGGAATTGCCAAACGGCTCTTCTCGTACATGCACTAAATCATGTGTCTGGGTGTTTGAAGTCATATGTCAGCTGCTTCAAATAGTAGTTTAATTGTGGCAATCTGAACTCTCACACATATTTCCATTAGCTGGATGTAGCAGTCTGACATTACTAAGACAATGCCCATTTTTTGCACATTTTTAAAAGAAGGAAAACAAGAAATATACCAAAATTGGGGACGGATTACATGTTAGAAGGATTTCTTTTGGACCTTGGTACTATTTCTTATACTATTACATTGGGACAAATGATTCTTTGCTACACTTTTATTCAATGGGGAAACCTAGAATTCTAGTTTCTAGATATAATCACATATATTATCCTTTTTTAAGTCTGTAAACAATATATGCCTCCTAATGATAATGTGTAAAGTAAGTCTACGTTTTGAATACTGTCAACTTCATTATCAGCTTATCCCTAAAGAGGCTGAGGTCTGAACATTTTACTTCTGGTATGTAGCAGCTAAGTTTTAAATATCTTTGGACAGGGACTTTCTTGTAGCATTATAGTTGATCGGTACTAGCTACTTATGTATGTATGTATGTATGTATGTATATTGTGTGTGTCAATATCAGTATCAATACATTCTAGAACTGAAAAACAGAGATTCAAGATCACAAGACAACAGAGAAGGAGACAGTTGGTTTTGAAGAAGAGACAGAAAATGTGTAAATATTGTTGTTGTGTGCTGCCCAGAGTTGCTTTTGGTGAGATTGGCAACTAGGCAACCTTGATAGATAAATAAATAATGTAGTCTGCGTGTGGGTATATATAGTATCTTTCATAAAGTTTATTTCCCCAGTCCTGATCTTATAGTCTTTCCCTGTATTACTTCCTGCATAGGAGATGAACGTTTTATTCTATAACTTTCTTACTCTGAGCTATTCTCAGGCCAAACTTTGCCTTTACACCAAGCTTTACCACCTTAACATTTCTATGAAATGTATATTATAAAATGTCGTGTACACATATGGCAATCTAATAATGAAGCCTTGACTACAGAAAGCCATCTCGGAACAGTGGCAGAAACCTAAATATTGTTATTTTTACTCAGAGCCAAGTTTATTCCAGCAATTGGATTTATAAAACTATCTGGGCTATTTCAGACTCCCCCTCCCCTCTTTTTAAAGGAGACACATTTTTTCCACACTAGCATTTCTACCATGCTGAATGCAAGCTGTCATTCTTTATCTTATAACCAGGCTGCATACCAGAAGGGAAGGAGAGGGATTTATTTAGAATATGCACTAGTTGGGAAGTAGAAATTAGGTCATTTGTGTTTAAATTTGAATCCAACAATTTCCACTCCTACCCTTGTCACAACTTATCAGGCATATTTTTATGAGGAAAGCCAAAGAGAGATATAATGGGCAGAAAGCCAAAATGTGGAGACATCGTCTTCATTTGATCAAAGCAGAAGGTGGTCAGGAAATAACATGTTCCATGGTCCTGTTCTGTTCAGAACAATCTGTGCTACTTAACTGCTCCTTTCCACCTGATACTCCTTTGTGTTATGTAAACTACTCAGAATCCATGTAGCTTCTAGAATTAGAGAATTGGAATTTAGATTGTGGTGTTTTTGTTATTTTTCAATAACACCCTTTCCCTGTTTCCTTATAGCAATAAAAAAGCTGTTACCTTCTTGAGGTCATTAGTGTTGCTTGTGCTTTTGTGATCATTTGAATATGAAATAGCTGATCTGATGATTAATAGATGGAGCAGTCAGAAAAAAGTATAAAGAAATAATTTCAATCACAACCACCTGCATTTTTTCATGCTGAATAAATGTGCATAGTTTAAATGTTTGATAAATATGTTAATCTTAATGTTTACAACAGAGACATATTCATATCTCTGTTGTAAACACTTAAGCTTCTTAACTCACTTGATGCCATATGAGCTTTTTAACCCACATGTTTCATTTTGATATATTTTTTCCAATGTTGAAGGGCAAGAACCAGAAGGGAAAGAGTATCCCTGTCTGGGTTTTGCAAATTGATTTAAGATCTTTGATTGTTTCTAAGAAACAAAGATGGATTTTGAGAACTGGAGGAATCTACCCATCCTTCATTATTGTTTCATACTTATACTTTGCCCTCTGTGATTAGTGTTGTATTCTGGGTGGAAGGTTCCACTTACTCACCATTGGGTAGACCGTCACATGACACTTAATGTAAGTGGTTACTGTCTTGTTAATAGCATTAAAATTAATGTGGCTTTTACAGAGTTTTTCCAACAGAAATATTTCACTGCTATACAAAAGAGTTTTAAATTTGTTCAAGATTTTCCTGAATTCTGCAGCTAACTACCTTTCACTATAATTGTAAACTGGGTGTAAGTGTGTAGAAAACTTGTAAATGTGACTTCCTTAATCTCTGCTTTCTATTTCTAATGAATTAATGATAAGATGCATAATTGTGTTCTGAATTAGAACTTTCTGTGGATCCTCTCAGGTAACCTATATACTACTCTGGAAGATTTGATGATGGTAGACTAAACTTTTTTATTCTGAATAGTATGTAGCTCATAGAGAGATGATCCTGTTTCACTGGAATGGACTGAATGGAGCAAGCAAGCAGAATGTCAGCAGGTTTTGTTTTATAATCTCTTAGCCCAAACTTGTGCAGGCAAATCAAGCAAGTAAAAATATCTATATTTTCACGTATACAGCAGATTATCTTTTAATGTTACATAATAACCTCAGTATTCCTTTTTTTTAAAAGTTATTGCCTTTCAAAATTTGACTGTTTTAAATCTTTAACATAAATAACTAAAAGTTTTAAGACTTCAAGGGATTGGAGAATTCTGAATTTTCCTGTCATCTTATTTACTTTCTATTTTTTCTTACAGGACTGAGTCTGTGGCTGAAAAAATGCTAACCAACTGGTTCACATTCCTTCTGTATAAGTTCCTAAAGGTAAGAATGAAACATTGTGCGAAGCACTCATTTGTCAAAATCTTTTATCTGTTGGAGATTGACAGTATATTTGGCTAAAACTGTGATAGCGAACCTATGCCATTTGTGCTGGCATGCGAGCTGCAGGCAAACTTACCTCACTGCGCATGTGCGCGCCTCACAGCTGATTTTCAGCCTGTTTGAGGCCTTTTTTGGCCTCCCAAAGGCTGAAATCTAATCCCATTTCATCACTTCTGGTTTTTCTGAAAAAAACGGAAATGACAAAATGGGGCTAGATTTCGACCTACAAAGCTTGTAGAAGCCTGAAGAAGCCTTCCTCAAGCCTTTGGGAGGCTGAAAAAGGCCTCAAACTGGCCGAAAATCAGCTGCGAGGCACAGTGCAGGTAAGGGGACGGCAGGGGGGGTGGGGAGGATTGCACACGCATGTGTAGGGGGTGTGGGGGGTGCGCATTGCCTTCTGGGTGCTGACACGCGAGCACGAGCGTGCAAGCACGTGCACAATTTTTGGCACAGGAGCCCAAAAAGGTTAGCCACCACTGGGCTAAAATATATGCTGTGAATCAAGAAGTCCAATTGAGATTTCATTTTCTGCAAAAAAGAATAACAGCATTGAGTTGTTTTCCCTCCCTTGCTGAAACCTTTTGTTATAAATCCTAATGTTATAAATGTTCAATATATAATTTTAAAACCCCTTTCACTCAGAATAATGAAAGGTGCAATGTGAAGGTTCTACTCTGATAAAAAAAACCTCTCCATTTGCCACCTTTTAAAAATCTTCATCATGAATTGGTTGGTGCAGAGGTGTGAATTGTTTTGAATCCATCTGAGGCACTGATGGATTAAATACACATGGAGAAGAGAGCTACTGAGAACTTATTTGGGTAAAATAGATAATGAATTCAAGAAAAAAAGGTTCCCCCGTCAGCCCCCCCAAAAAAAACTAAAAAGGAAACTTAGAGTTATTTCTAAGCAGTTTCTATTATTGTTTATTGCCTTTAGACAGAAAATTTGTCAAACTGAAACAATTACTTGCATCATGAAAGATACACTCTGAGAACTTCTCGGTAGGAACTGTCTTGACTCGCTTCCTCCCAACCAAACTATCTAAACTTTGCTGTCTCTTGCTCCTCTGAAATGTAGCCCCACCCTCCTGGGAATCCAGACTACATTCCACCACACCAACCTCTCAAGAAACTGTGGAGCCAGAGTTGTTATAATAATTTAAAGATTCTTATGGTAGTATTGTGGTCACGCTGATAGGGGTTTTTCCTTTTTATAATCACTTAGCATGTCATTATGCTGTGATGTAATATTTTTCATTGGTTCAGTTTTCCCTAGTAAAATCAGTAGGCATGAATAAAATTCTTATTCTTTCAGCATAGAGAATGTTTTTAATATTGCCTGAAGTAAAGCTTTGAACTGTTGTATCACAGATGAACTTAAAACTATAGTTTTGGAGCACATGGTGTGTTAAAGGAATGTTGAGGCACAGAAGGAATCCTAGGTTAATGGCAGCTACAGATCTATAAATCAAAATTGATGCCTAAATAATAAGGTTTTGTCAGAGTTTTACTCAGTGAGTTGCTATGGCACAAAGTAGAGCCACTTTTTGAAGAATACCATCCCTTGTTAAAATAAAGGAAGCTTAGATGATTTCCAGAACAAGTAGAAAGCAATCACAATTGGTCACAGCCATTCCACTCCTTGCTTCTAGGGACATCCTGTATCCTTGAAAAGATACCTTTGCTGAAGAACGTATAACAATTTGCAAAGGAATAAGAACAATAGACTTTTGCCTCTCTTCAAACATCTTTTCTAATATTGTTGTTTTAAATTATCCAAATATAACTACACAATTTATTTCATTCTGGCTATGTTTTTACACAGTATAATATTTGGCAGGAACCAAGTCAGGGACTAACTTGTTTGATCCATAATGGTGAAGTCATGGAACATAAGTAGCTGCACAAAGGATGGCTAGAAACTTAGCAAAAACCCAGAAACTTGTTTATATTACACTGGTAGTACAACTACAGCAAATTCTCAGTTATATGAAGCTGATGATAAGTTTTACTTCTCCTGTCAGGGAGAAAATGTTTCGCTAGTAGATTTGTCACAAGTGTGCTGTTACCATACTTTGTATATTAAATGTAGAAACCATAAATACAGTCATGTCTTACAATGTATTACATACTGCGTTTCAGCATAGGATACAAACAAAGGAGAATAAAATATAGTGCAGTCTGGAAAATATGCCTCAAACTGTTTATGGAATGTTCTAAGAGCTGGTCTGGTATTTTTTTTAAAAAAGAGTAATGGTACATGCCAACTTCTTTCATATATATCCTGACACACCAAAACTCCTGAAATAGGTAAAATGTATTTCCAAGTTGTGAATTTTTCACAGATTTCCCTTGATTGCAGTTGTCAAGTTCCAAAACCCAGCTCACCACCATGGGGCTATCAGTCATGTTGCTGCTACTTGGTTTTATTTTCCTGGGAGCTATCGTAAACCAGACAGTTAAAAGAAAGAAACAAAAATCAAGATTGTTCAAAAATGGGCCAGCTTTCCTAATCCATCATCACCTGTTGTCATTTTTGCACCCTATATACCCGAGGATTTTCAGTAGAAAAGAGTAATGTTTGCAAACAACAACTCTCATAAACTAATGTCTGGAGAAAAGATCCATGCAATAACAGTGGGTCACTTATAGGGACATAATAAAACTGTGTTACAGATCTTGTGGTATTAAAAAAGAGTGAAAAGTAAGAGTGATCTCTCAAGACTTGGGAACATATGCCTCATCTAAAATGTTAGGCAAACGTGTCTTGCCAGTCAAGTTTCTGATGTATTAAGAAAGAAAAGACCCATCTTCTTTCCTTTTTCTTCTTTTCTCTCTGAGAGGTTTTAGTGGGTGAATATTGCAAATATTTGTCAAATAAGAAGGCAAAGTTAAGATATTTAGAAACGGCTTTGCAAGCAAGCGGAATGTCAGCAGGTTTTGTCTTATAATCTCTTAGCCCAAACTTGTGCAGGCAAATCAAGCAAGTAAAAATATTATATTTTCACGTATACTGCAGATTTTCGTGAAAACATGTCACTGGAGGGTTGCTGACAGGGTTCTGATCTTCGGGAGGGGGGGCGCTCATATCTTTGAGCCAACGATGACTGACGATCGGAACAGCAATGCCAAGGAAGGCTTTCTAAGAAGCTCTCTGACTTTTCATACAGGATGCCACAGGGCAAATTGGTATTTATAGTCTTGCTGGCTGTTCTGTCATCAAATTGGGGGAAAGTATTCCCAAAGGTATAACTGTGTGGGTCACATGGGATTATATATTCCCTTGTGACCACTATATAATAACACGTCCAGGCCTGTGAAACAGAGAAAAGCTAGCTTGCCAAAATAATACATCGATTCAATCCCACTGAGAGATGAGAACAACCTACTTTTCTTCGCTCCCTCATTTCCCATTTATCTCTCTGCTGCAGAAATGATGGGAATAGCCAGCTTCAAGAAATCAGCAAGCCTTGGGACTGGTGGTTTTGTTGAGGCCTCAAGTGCCATTTATCAGCATCCTAATGAGCCATCCTAGGGAAATAGGAAAGCGAAACAGATAAAGAGGAGCATTGAAAAATGCACAATATTAGGTGCCTGATGAGCTAAATCTCATCAATAAGACACTGTGTGAGCGTTAGCTATACTGCCTCAGGCCTCTGCATATGCACAGGCATTCACATGCCAAGCTCATACATCCCACTGATTCCTATAGTTTCAGTTCATTCTTCCTTTCTCCAACATGGCACTCTCCACCGATATTGGATTGCAACTCACTGAGATCCCAGCGAATGTAGCTATTGATTATGCTCCTGAGGGACACTAGGTCGGCAGGTGGCTATTCCATAAAAAATACACTTAACTGTATGTGGGGGTAGGAATCATCAGCATTGTGTAGACATCATTATAAACACAATAGCAAACTCTCCATAGGATTTTTTCACCGTTTTATTTTTGTCTTCGGTTCCTTTTCTCAATGAACTGAGCTTGAAACCACTAGCTCATTTTATAAAATTCATCCTATATTGGCTGTAGGAGCATTCCTAATCATTTGACATAATGGAATTTTTAGATCTGTGTCATTAAAGGATTTGAGCAGAATTTTTTTATGACCCAAGAGGAAAGTGCTGTATACCTGAACACAGAGTTGAGAAGTGGTCTCTGTAACATGTATTGGATGCTATCTCTCTCTTCAGTTATGAAGTGTTATTTCTAATGTTGCTGATCAGGACTTAATTCCTGCTGCTCAGAAAAGGGAGAAAGGTTTGAGGTTGTTATAAAGCATAGCTGCTTGCCTAAAGATGTCAGGGTATATGTTCCCCCTTTTTAACAAAATGATGGTGGTGGATGCATATGTGAAGAAGAAAGAGGGATTTAGAGCTCTGAGCAGCCTGAAGCAGAATTTAGAATTTAAATGGAGGGAAACTCAGTGAATTACGCTTTAGTGGGTTCCCTTTGGTTTGGTTTATGTTCCTCTCATGGCAGCATATTGTGCTAGGAATGGATTAATTAATTTATTATTTTAGTTTGTTTTTGAAATATACTTAGGATGAAATATACTTAGGGTTTTTAAACAGGGCTTTCCCAAGGCTGCCTGTGGTTTAGCTATGCCCAAAATAAAAACCAGTATCTAAAATGACCTAATTGGCACACTGGAAACTGCAGCCTCTGAAGCTACTGACAGTTCTGCATAATTGAACTTAAGACATTAATCTTTGGAACAGAAATCCAGGACCAGTTTTGCCATTCATGAACAAAACTTAAATGCCTCCAGGGAAGTCTGATATGGACAGGGTTAGTGAGGTATGCAATACATTCTGGTAACTATCCTGCTTAGTCTGTATATCTTTCATTAGAACAGACAAGCAATTCTGTTTTTTGATGTTGGAAATCTAATCAAAATAGCCAAATGCCAAAATGGGTTGTCTGGAGTCATTGTGTGGTAACTATCCAGGAATAACAAATACATTATTTGGCATAAGACTGAATTGCTGAAAGCCAATCACATTGGCTTTCGAAGTAGATGCAATGGGCTGATTTTATATGGCTTAATTGCTGTTAGTTTGAAACGCCACTCTGCTTTTTAGTAAACCTGTGTCAAGTTCTGCCACCTCCCACTGAAAACAAATACTGACTCTACTAATTTTTTTAAAAAAAGTTCTTCCACTGTTGCTTGATGAAGGGAGATATCCAAGTGCAGCTGAAAGTCAGAAAGCAAATATAAGTCAGCAAATATAAAGTAATTAACAGGTTAATCCCGAGCTTTAAGAACTTGCAGAACTTTTATTTTTATTGTCCATTGCACAATACATAATATCTCTGAAACCTCTCTGGAATAAGAATGGCAAATGGGTTAGTCCTCAGAGGTGCTTTTGAACAAGCAATCCACTGTTCTTATGAGCACTTTAAACAGCCCTGATGAAAAGGCAGGCACAGCAGCCCCAAAGCAATGCATGGCTTGTCAGCTGACTGTAAGTGGTAGAAAACGATATGCCAGGCAAACACAATAGACAAATGAGATGTGACCAAGGAGCCATCTTCAATTTATCCTCCGCCTAGGTTGCATTTTTCGTGGCTGAACAGTTTGCAGAGACCTTTTATGAGCAATCAAAAACTGCCTGGGAAGAAACCCTATATTTTTGGCTTCACCTGAAAGGAGAGAGAAGGACTAAAACGGGAGCATTTTTCTAGGATGGATCATAATTGCCATGTGTGCCTGTTAACGGATGGTCATCATTTGGCTTGTGCATTACGAGGAGACAAGACAGTTATTAATAAATAGCGCAGCACCCACATTTTTTCCCCCCAAGCAGACTTAATGAAGCCAAGTTTGCAAATGAAACATAATTTCAAAGACAGGCGTGTTGTCGGAAGGTCTAGGGATGATGTATGCCTGTTCCTGCTCGTTAGCAGCTGTCTCTTTAATTACTGCAGATGCTAACGAGATGCTAACAGCATATGGTGACAGAGAGAGCGGGCTCACTTTGCACCAAAGTAGAATTTGTTGTGCTGGTGGCCAAAGGAATAAGAGGAGACTCCAAAGAAGTAATATAGAATATTGCTCCAAATATTACTCCAAAGAAGTAATATAGAATATTGCCCCTGGGTCCCTAACGTCTCATAATTTGGAGCTGTTCAAAGTACTGAAATATTTTGGGAATTAACTACACAGCAGCATTATAGGTCAGATCTATAATAATCTATAAATGTTGCAGACCATGTCTTTCTTCCCAGATGGCAATTCTTGGAGTAGTACAGGGGTGGGATTCTATCTAGTCAGACTGGTTCTATAGAACTGGTTGTTATGATTCTGCGCAGTTCAGAGAACTGGCAAATCGTGCCACTGGCTGGCCCCTCCCCTCCCCACCCACTCACTTCTTACCTGGCATGCATGCAATCCAACTTGTCTGCTAAGTTGCTATTTTTCCTTTTTTTTTCTTCAACTATCAGCTGTTCTGACTATCAGCTTCTATTTTTCAGTGCAGACTCAGGCAACAGATTGGAGAAAGGTAGATCTCTGAGTGAATCTGTGATTCTGTGAGCAACTCAATCTGCCTGCCTGCTTTGCCAGCTTTTGGGTAAAAGTTGCTCTTTTTAAAATAAAAAACTCAATATTTACATAAATATTTACAATATTTGCATACAAGCCATGTCCACCCAGTCACATGACCACCAAGCCACACCCACAAACTAGGCTACGCCCACAGAACCAATTGTTAAGAAATTTGAATCCCACCCCTGGAGTAGTACCCTTTCACCTTTGAATAATTTCTCTCTTAACCTAATAATTTTCATCTCTTCATTGCTACTCCATTTTCTCATAAACAATCCAGCCCCTTGTCAAATATTTCTTTTTGCATAATACTGCACCTTTCAACATTTCTAATTTTTTCCCTTTCATCTAAGCACTGTGACCTAGCACATTTCCATTAACTGAAATCTGAGAACTTTATTTTTCACACACTTCTAAAAAGCAGGACATAGATAAGGTTGCCTCTTTCACAGTAGAGTAAATTGTGTTGCTTTTATCAGTGCAGGGAAGCTGACTCGTTGATTATGTATTTGCTTTTTTATATAATAATAAGAACAGCAGAGGACACCTAAAGAAATGAACTAAGAACTATGGAGGAAACAACAGGAAGCATTTATTTCAAACCATCAGATGATTGTCTAGTTGACCTCATTACTATCAAATATGGAATCTAGCAGCACGACTAAAAACATTTAAGGAATAAAAGAAATTTACAGAAGTTAATTGAAATACAGATTAATGTAGGATATTGGAGTGGGGAAATTCACTGTTGAGTTGAGAAATTTGGAGGAAATATTGGAGCTGCAAGTTTGTCTCCTAGCTTCTAGCAATAAAATATTTAAGAAACAAACTAGAAGTAAATCTGCATTGCTTAATTATTTTGTCTAGAGATTGCAACTGTAGTGTGAAAAAATAGAGAATGATCTGATGGCTTCTGTTCTTATCTTAAGGAACAAGTTCTGACTGAGGTGCTGATTGGCTGAGGATTGATTGGGCTCTTGTCATTGTCCTAGCAAAGTTCTTATTTCCTATATATGCCTTGTGTAATCTATATTGCTTAGAACAGGGGTCTCCAACCTTGGCAACTTTAAGATTTGTGGACTTCAACTCCCAGAATTGGGAGTTGAAATCCACAGGTCTTAAAGTTGCCAAGGTTAGAGATCCCTGACTTAGAATATGTGTAGTATACTATCTACACTTATACAAAAAATTCAGGGGTTGTTCAATCAATCTTATCGCTTTTATTTAAAAAAAAAAATCTATTGCCTCTTTAAGAGGCTCAGGAGTGAGGCTCTTAATGTGCTTTCAAAACCAGGCCAGGTTTGGGCTGCCGTCTTTAAAGCTCTAGAAATAATAGAGTCTGTGCCAGAAATGATGCTTCCTAGGTTCTCTAAGGATTTTAGTTGTAAAGATGCCACAGAAAATATAGCCTTCAAATAATTGTGTATTGCTCTTCACTTAAATCTTTTGTTAAATCAAATTTTCTGAAAGGGCTTTCATTTGAACTTAAAATATTGAATCCTTAGCTTGGTTTGCCATTATTAAGTTACGATCTGTGGAGCTCAGTGAAATTTTTGAAACTCTTGTTTACATACATATTTTTCACTGCCTTTTTGTAAAGTATTTCTTGGCGCTCTCTCTCTCTCTCTCTTTCTCTTTCTCTCTCTCTCTCTCTCACACACACACACACACACACACATGCACACACACTCACTCTCACTCACTCACTCTCCTGTCAAGTCAGGAATTGCATATTGCAAATATTGTAAAGATACTTTTTTCTTTTTAAAAGTTTAGACTAAATAAATTTTGGATGAGTGATTAACAAAAGAAACCTTACCAAAGCAAATAGAGCTACTTTTGGAGACAATACAGTATTGAATTAATAATCAACCACATCCTGACCTTGCTTAATCCCAGTCATTTCTGTGTGCATACTTTTTATCCTGCAGCAAGCATCCTGTAAAATAATCATTTAATTGAAGCATGATGTAATGACTAACAAAACCAGCCTTTGATGCAAATTCTTCTAAGAGACAAGAATAGCAACGGCGGTATTTCTCCTACATACCTATGCAAGGTATTTTGGAAATAAAGCATAATTTTATATTGACTGCCCTTCTTTCTCTTCATCCTTTCTTCAGGAATGTGCAGGTGAACCTCTGTTCATGTTGTATTGTGCCATCAAACAGCAGATGGAGAAGGGGCCTATAGATGCCATCACTGGAGAAGCCCGCTATTCCCTAAGTGAAGACAAGCTCATCCGGCAACAAATTGACTACAAAATGTTGGTTAGTAACAGTGGGAATTTAACTAGGATAGATTCTTCATCCTCTGAGTTAGCCCTTCTGATGATACTCTGATGATGGAACAACAAAGTAGTTGTTGTCATCAAGACCAATAATAAGAGAAGGAGGTAATATAGAATGAGAGGCGAGAATATTCTCTAAACGTTTGATCGAGTAGTCCAGTGTTTCTTAAAAAATTTTCTCTTAGCACCTCTTCCTATTTTAAAAGATTATGGAGGACCCCCAAAAGAGCTCTCTCTCTCTCTTATGGTCTGAATCCTTGAAAGAAAAGAAAAATTGGCATTAAAATACAGACACACAGCATTCTTTAAAGCCTCAGTGGGCTATAAATAAGAGTTCTTTTCTGATATTAATATTAATTTTCTTCCTAAATCAAAGGGAGGGAAAACCTCTTCCTTTGTGCCACATCTAAGAAGCCTAGTAACTATTTCCTTCTTCAGGAATGTGAACCATGACAAATAGATATGCTAGGTTTAAATAGCGTATGCATCATTCATGGCTAGATATTGAAGTGTACACATCTGCCTTTTACTAAGTCAGGTCATTGGCCTGCACATTCTAGTATAGTTGACTCATTACTTCAGGCTTTTAGACTGGAGATTCTCCTATTAAGAGATGCTTAAAGTTGGACTTTGAACTTTCTGCTGCAACCAGGTGATCTATGGCAGCTATGATTTTCCCTGTTATTTTCAAATGAGTACATTCTGCAACAAGCTTCTCCCTCAGATTTCCTTCCTAATTAGAGTGGAGTGAGGCGTAAAGACAGCTTAATGATGCCCCTTCTTGTCATCCATTTCATCTGAGGAAAGCTGTAATGTTATGCAGAGCATTCCTGTACACAAATGTATTTATATTTTATTTTATTTTTGAAATTTGCATGATGCCCTACAAAACCAAGTTTTCATATTACAAAAAATGTTTAAAACTAAAACAATCATGAAAAAAAGGAAGAAGGTAGTTAAGCTTTTTCATCCTTTCCTTTTATATAGACATTAAACTGTGTGAATCCTGAAAATGAAAACGCTCCTGAAATTCCAGTCAAGGTCCTAAATTGTGATACCATCACACAAGTGAAGGAAAAGTTGTTGGATGCTGTGTACAAAGGTGTTCCATATTCCCAAAGACCCAAAGCAGGAGACATGGACCTGGGTAAGCTATGGCTTCTTGTGTAGTTAGGATAAACAATGGATTCATATAATTATGACATTAGGGCTATAAAATTCCAATAAAAAGATGCTTTAAAATAATCATTTTTACTTCATTAAAGGAGCTGCATGCTTTTCCAGGCTCATGTGGCTGCTTCAGAAGCTACTTTTTTTCTTTGCCACCTGTGTGTATAAATGTAGCCATTCTGGTTTCTTTTTCCCACAGTTCTCTTCACACATGACCTCCTATACTTGTTGATAGATACCTCAATATAGAGAAAAGTAAAGTCCTACACTTAGGCAAGAAAAACACATATAGACTGGGTGAAACCAGTCTCAATAGCAGTAACTGTGAGAGGGATCTTGGAGTCTTAGTGGACAACCATCTAAATATGAGCCAGCAGTGTGCAGCCGCTGCCAAAAAAGCTAATGCAATCCTAAATTGTATTAACAGAGGGATACAATCAAGATCAAGGGAAGTACTAATACCACTCTATAAAGCCTTAGTAAGACCACACCTAGAGTACTGCATCCAGTTTTGGTCACCACATTATAAAAAAGATGTTGAGACTCTAGAAATAGTACAGAGGAGAGCAACCAGGATGATTAGGGGACTGGAAGCTAAAACATACCAACGAAATGGTTGCAGGAACTGGACTTGGCTAATCTAGTAAAGAGAAGGACCAGGGGAGACGTGATAGCAGTCTTCCAATATTTGAGGGGCTGCCACAGGGAGGAAGGGGTCAAGCTATTTTCTAAAGCTCCTATAGGCCAGACAAGGAATAATGGATGGAAACTGAACAAGGAGAGATTTAAGCTGGAAACAAGGAGAAACTTTCTGACAGTGAGAACAATCAACCAATGGAACAGCTTGCCCTCGGAAGTTGTGGGAGCGCCATCAGTTGAGGCTTTCAAGAAGAGATTGGACTGCCATTTGTCAGAAATGGTGTAGGGTCTCCCGCTTGGATGGGGGGGTTGGACTAGATGACCTACAAGGTCCCTTCCAACTCTGATTATCTGTAAATCTGTAAACCTCCCTGCATGTTCTAAGGCCATGTTTTAAAACTCAAACTTGATGGCAGTTTCAAACTAATGACTCAAGGGAATAGGCAAAGGCTGAAAAGGGACAGAGTTGGTTATTTATTTATTTATTGGAAGCTGAACAGATAGTATTTTGATAAATGGATATGCTTTATATGAGGAAGAATAGGGAAGTATGCAAAAGCAACAAATTGGTATGGTTTTCTAGAAGATTGTTTGTTTGTTTGTTTTCCTATCCACCCAATTTCTAGGCTGCCCAAAAGTGCCTTTTCTGTAACTGTAGCTTCACAGAGTTAAAAAATGAAAAAGAAATTTTTATATAAAAAATAGTCAGAGTGAACAATGAAGAAAACCAATCCCTCCATGTCTCTTGACCTGTAGGGCCCCTGTGTCAATATCTGAAGAATGAGTCATGTTTTGGGGACTTTCTTGAAGGCAAGTAGAATTGGGTGTGGGAGTCAGGCAAATTGTGAAAATGATGCTGTTCCAGAAGGCTGATGCTGTAGCAGAGAAGGATTTACTTCCCAAACTACTGAATCATCTCCAAGAGGGCATTGTCTAGAAAAGGTTCACCATTATTCAGAAAAAAATAGAACATTCTGGAATTCTCTGAAAAGGTCTCTTACCATTTTGCACATCCCTAGTATTTTCTTAGCAAACTATGAATAGAATTGAGCTCTCTAAGAATTAAGGATCAAAATATGCATACTAGTGACAATATCATCAAATATGTTAATGATAAATCACCTATAAGAAATAGATTTTATTTTGTGTGATTCAGTCATCAAATAGAATACAAATGAGGATGAGGATGGTGATGATGATATCCTTTCAGTTGAGTCCTTAGCAAAAATAATGGAAATAGAACATTAGTAGTTTAAAATGACTCACATATGGAAGCTAGACCCATTGTATAGCAAAATTTGCAAGAAGATTAGCCAAACTTGGTAAACCTATTTGGTGCCTTGACTGCAATGATAAATGTTGCTTTAATTCACAAGTGAAGAAACAGATTTGTCATTTAGAACTGGATCCAGTAGCAAGAAGGAGTCACAGTTTGGGTAGAAATTCTCCTTTTTTAAATCTATCAGCCCAAAGTCTTTCCCTCAAAAATAAGCCCATAATCCCAACTTTGGGGAAAAGCTAAAGACATAAAAATGGGCAAGAGGTGATTCAATATTCCACACCTGAATAACTTTGCTCCAAAAATGAAGCCCTCATACTTGCAACCTTCATGACAGATGTTATTTGGTATGCAAGGAAAGTCGTTTTTCATTCTCAAATAAAAATGTTATTATGATGTATTGCTGATTCTATGTTAGCATTTTAAACAACTTCATGATCACAGGAAGTAATAAGATGCAATATCTGAGAGATGATGAGAACAGTAATCTCATATGACTAAAATAGTGAACTAAATATTTTCAGGGGGAAGGGGAACTGACTTAATTCCAGTAGTTGAGATAACAATGCTTGTGATCACTGATTATGTAAAACTTATTAAAAGCAGAAGGTTGTTGATTAAGCTGGAGATATTCTTGAAGATTCCTCCAAATGGGTTACGAAGGTGAATAATTTAAAGTTTTGTGGGCAGGGGGTTGTTTTGAGTCAAGTCTCACTTCCGTTAACCAGTTTTCTTGGCAATCACTTCAGAATTGATTTGCCATTGCTTTCTTCCTAAGAGTGGGAAGCCCAAGTCACACCAAGGAGAAAATGGCCCTATTACATTGGATCCCAAACAGATTTTCCTAGCATAATTTTTGCTAACTACAGCGAGACTGTAATGGGGTTTACGGTGGGGTGTGGCTTTTTAAAATGGCTTGTGCCATGCCTCATTCACATGCTCTCCATGCCTTTCATTCTGTGATCTGTCCAAAGTGAGCACGATCCCCAGTGACCCCATGCCCTTCTCTTCCATCGGTGCAGAGTGGCGGCAGGGCAGGATGGCTCGGATAATTCTTCAAGATGAAGATGTCACCACAAAGATCGACAATGACTGGAAAAGACTCAACACTCTAGCTCATTACCAGGTGTGGTTGTCCTTGGGTTTTTGTCATAGTGGTGGCAGAAGAGACCTGATATCTGAATATGCTATGTATCTGAATAAGATACGTATATTTATCTCATACATGAGAGATGGATACAAAAAACAGCTGTTGTTATTTATTTTACTATTGAATTAGTATTGGCGAGAGAAGATAGGATGAAAGTCCAGGCTAGATCCTGGTGTGTACATTTGATGAGTATTAAATAAGGAAGAACATACATAGCTCAAGATTGTATCGTTAGGTTTTTTTGTGTCCTCTGAGTTTGCTTTTCTTCTTGCAGACATTTCATTATCAGGCTAGACAACATCAGTACACCGATGATGTTACCTAGCCTGGTAATGTTTGTAAGAAGAAAAGCAAGCAAGAATACGAAATTATACATCTTGGAAAGGCATTTGTAGAGAATGAAAAGAAAGCTTCTAGCTCTTAAGTTTAACAAAAGAAGCATTAAAATTATGTGCAAGATTGTTCTCTTTCTCTGTATTCTTCCTGACGAGGCCTGGGATAATCCATATGCTGTCCTGTGTGCTTTGTCTTTGATCTGTCCACCACAAACAATTGAATAAATATGCTTTAACAAAGGAAGAATGAAAGAAGAACAAATTCTAGACAAAGCTGGAAGCGTTCTATTTTTGTGCCAGGCAGATTTTGAAGGAGATAAAACTCAGGTCAGATCTGGAAATCCCAAGGAATGGAAAATGGCTTTTTATTAAGAAGAAAAAGAAAGCTTTCTTCTGTTTGTGTTTACATTATAAGAGAATGAACTGTCCATCTTCTCAAATTTTCTGAGAGGCTCTGAGAATCCACCGAACAGGGAGTTAAACTTGTTTATTTCAGCTATCTTTAGTAGGGAGCTCAGTGTGGGTTGGAGTGAGAGAGGTAGAGATTGTGGATCTTCAGTCTTAATTTTGGTAATATTCTCTACAGGTAACAGATGGTTCATCTGTGGCACTGGTGCCCAAGCAGAACTCTGCCTACAACATTTCCAATTCCTCTACTTTCACAAAATCACTCAGCAGATATGGTGAGTAAATGAGAAAACTTCCTTGCCAGTTTATTATCTAGAATTCTTTAGCAGTCTGGGAATTAAGAAAGTCTTCCTAAATTAAGAAAAAGCAGACTAAAAAGGATACCATGCTTCAGTCAAGCCTCTTCTAATGAATTCCTTGGTTTTGTATGACAAAATTGATGTAGGCCCATTTTATAGTAAATCTACAACTAGCTTCTTCCAGTTAAGACTTTGCCTCTGGTTGCTTTATCGAGTTTAGTTTTTCTTCCAAATGTGCATTTCTTCACTGTGTTTTCTTAAAGCCACTGTGCTTTCATGTGCCTTATTGGTACATGATTAAGAGAAGCAAGGTATCTATTATAAGTATTAAAAGTATTTGCTGAAGAAAAAAATTGTCGCAGGATCCAATCTTGGTCGGGACCAGAATTTTAGTCTGCACAGCTTTTGACCTTGTACTGGAGCCCATCCTCCAGAAAGATTCAGATAGAGAGAAGTTCCCTGAAGATGGGCTCCCAGCATGAGTCTGAAACCACACTAAACCTCTGGTCCTGATGACTGACCCAGATTGGATCTGGGACATGTATATTTGCCTTCATTTGTGGAAAAAAAGTCATTTATTTAGAATTGAAGAGTACCTACCCATAGGTCTTGAACTATAATGAGTTTCCTTCATTATTCATCAGATCCTTTCAATGAAAAAAAAAAGTCAGTAATCTCTTTTTTTCTAGGGCCAATTAGTTAATGAAGTTTAATTGACAGGTTAGCCCAAAACACATCATATTTTTTGATGGTATGACAGGCCATGCTGCAAGTTAAGTGAGGTGGAGGGAGGACAGCAGAGGCCAAGAGTCAGCTGAGGAGGGAGAGGCAGTTGCCATTATATGTGGTTTCCTCACAGAGAGTATGCTCCGGACAGCTAGCAGCCCTGACAGTCTCCGTTCCCGGACCCCCATGATCACACCTGACCTGGAGAGTGGCACCAAGCTATGGCATCTGGTGAAGAATCACGATCACATGGATCAACGAGAAGGTGATCGTGGCAGCAAGATGGTCTCAGAAATATATTTGACTCGTCTGTTAGCTACTAAGGTAAATCAAAATGGCTCCTAGGTCCATTGTGAGATTTGGATAGTGTTATAAGTTTGTTAATAGCAGTATCACTTAGACTTATATGCAGCTTCACAATGCTTTACAGCCCTCCCTAAGCAGTTTACAGAATCAGCATATTGCCCCCAACAATCCGAGTCTCCATTTTACCGACCTTGGAAGGATGGAAGGCTGAGTCAACCTTGAGCCTGGTGAAACTCGAACTGCTGGCAGCTGCCAGACAGCAGAAGTAGCTTGCAGTGCTGCATTCTAACTACTTCCCCACCACGGCTCTTAACCTCACACACACACACACACACACACACACACACACACACACACACACA